CCTGTCACTGCCCCCCCCCCCCCCAGGCTCAGGACGAAGGCTCCGTGCCCTCCGGGTGAGAGCCACTAGGGACAGAAGAGAGGAGAAAGGAGAGTCCAGTGACGGCAGCCACGGTGGGACCCAACGTGGACGGGAATGATTCGAAAGCAAGGATCGGGCTGGGTGGGGAGCTAACCAACAGCCCTTTCTTCCCGCCGCCCCAGGACCCCACGCCGGGCCCTGTCCTCCCGCGGAGACGGGGCTCAGCGTTTCTGGGTTTCACGGCGCAGGAGGAACTTACAGAGCTGTTAAAAATGGGAAACATTTGAGGGCTTCTGAGGAGGAAAACTAACGGTCCGCTGGCACCCACCGGCGATGATCTCCCGCAGCTTGGGGTCCAGGTTCACGGTGCAGGGCAGGAAGGTCTTCACGTCTCGAGCCACCAGCACGGGCGTCCGCGAAGCCAAGAACACTTCGAAGTTCCTGATGTCCCCGTCTATCTCCAGCAGCGGCTCCACGTCCTTAGTCGTCGGAATGTTCTTTGAGATTCTTCAAACGAGAAAGAAATGAAAAAGATCATTAATGTCACCATGAGAAAGGCAAATTCTACATAAAAATAAATCGCACGTTACATACTTTGCTGCCATCAAAATCTTTTTAAAGAAAAAAATAGGCGGCACGGTTACAAAGTAGTAAAGAAACGAGTGGGTGTGATGGGACTGCCTTTGACGACGCAGGACGCCGTGGGCCAGGAAAACAGGCCGGAAGGAACGCGCAGCTCACGCGGACAGCACCTCCCGGGGACAGTGAAGGGGCAGCTAACCGGCCGCCTGGAGCCACAGGACCGGGAAAGCGAATCTGACTGGCTCTCAGGCCCGCGCCTGCACAGGGGACCATGGGTCTTGCCTTTGCAAAGAGAAGACATAAAGAGTAATGTCTGAATAAATTACACAAACTAGAACGTTAGCACAGGTGTTGTTTTAGGAAAGGCTTTGTTTTCTGTTGTAAAGGAAATAAGTACTTACTGCTGCACGTATGTAAAAGGCAGAGGAACAGAGGGAAACAGAGGGACAAGCATCATCTCACCAGTGGACATAGTGAGTACTGACCCAGCGTGCCACCTAGCATTGAAATCGCACAATAATGCTTATTATGCAGGATTTTTACACAGTTGAGTTCATATAGGTAAACACTTTTGTATCAGGCAGAGGTCTTGCATGTAAAAAGCAATATTCATTAAAAAATAGCAAACACTTTCTTGTCAAACTATAGAGAAGCGCCATTTTTATAGGCCTCATGGTCACCGCCATCCTTGCGAAGCCCACCACCGCCTGTGGAAAGACAACCAGAAACTCTAGGCAGGAGCGGGCTGCCCTCCGTCCTAACGCCGTGGCCTGCGCATCCTCTGCAGCCCGGCACCACCCGCGGGGTCCTCCCGGGACCAGGGGCTCCTCTAGGACAAGCCCTCCCAGCACAGACACGCCCCTCACACCACCCCTCACGCTGGGATGCCAGCCATTCGTGGGGTGACTGCATTGTCCCGTCCCCTCAGACTGCAGGCGCCGTTAGTCAGTGAAGCTGGGACAGGCGTGGTTTGCTCGCCATCGTACCTGCGGGCCTGGCGCGAATGCCCGCTTTCTACTCCTGCCGGATACACATTTGTAGAGTCAATAAACTACACAAGAAAATATGTTGCTCCCAGTGAGCTCTAGGCTTTTAAAATAATTTTCACTTCAATGATCCTTTCTTAGATAGAAAAAACCTTGTACTTGGGAAAGTGTACGACGATCCATTTCGAGTTCATTTTTGTACATGATTTGAATTTTTAAATTTCCTCTTCTTTTTCCTCAAAGGCTCTTAAGGTATTTCCTCTTCCCTGTGTAGGTATTTACGGTCAGAAATGCCCGAGCCCTGCCTGTGCAGCAGCCCCCCCTCAGCTGTGATCACTCCGAGGATCCACGCAGCGACACCTCGCTAGCGATCCCACGAGGCGCCCCGTTATGCAGGACAGAACGTGAGCCGGGGCCAGAGACGCCGCCCGCGGCCCGGCCTCTGCGGAAGGAGGAAGCGGTGACGCTACACCTGCCGGGAGGAGCCGCGGGCGCCAAGCAGCTCTCAGGCTCAGGCGAGGAGAGGAAGCAGCGAGGCTGCTGCGCGTGGGGCAGAGCTGCCTCATCCTCACTGCTGCCCACGCCCCGAGCCCACGAGCTGCTGCATCAAGACCCTGGGCCACAGCCCCGCACTGCGCACAGGGCACAACACCGCCCTCGCCTTCGGGCGTGTTTCTGATTTCAGGCATGGAATGTGTTTGACTCATGTGTTCAGACGTCTACCCAGGGTTACATAAGCCAACATGAAAGCACTTGTCTAAGCTGCCACAGCAATCGCTGGCGGAGCTCGCCGGCTCCACGACAGCCAGAGGCATGGGGACTGCAGCCTGGGGAACAGTCAGTGACGTCACAGGAACCACGGCCGGGGCCAGGGGGGCACTAGACGCACGGAGGGGCCATTCTGTAAACTTATAACTGCCTAACCACCGCGCTGTGCGCCTGGAACCAATATAAAACAATACTGAGTGTCAACTGTAATTGGAAAATAAAAAATACGCATGTAATAAAATAGACTGTCGCACACCAGAGGCGAAGGTGCTGAGGGGACTAACACATGGACCCGTGTTACCAGGTGGCCTGGTTTTTACCGCCTTCTTTTTTTTTTTAAAACAGACGTAGAGAAGTTTCCCCTCCATCCTCGTGTGCATATGTAAAGTCCTTTATAGTTTTTCTTTAATCCAGACGGACACTTTTTCATTCACAAAATTATACAAGCAAGTGCCCCGCCCCCTAGGTGCCAGAGCGCAGACTGATAACCAGTGGGAAAGGCACGATGAGGGGCCAGGGACCGGCCGTGGGGACGCAGGCCCAGCACCCCAACCAAGAATTCACCGGAGCATCTCCACGACTTACTGGTGATTCGCCCGTGAAGCCAAACCCCCATTCATCTTTCCAGCGCCTGGATCGGACGAACTGAAAACACCGGCCACAGCAGAGCAGTTCACACCTGCTGCTCAGGGTCAGGTGGTCTGGGTGCCACGCCACCAGGCCCACGCGGGGCACGGGTGGATGTCCCGCCCACGAGGATCGCAAGTCACACACACGCTTCAGCGTGATCCTCTCCAGAAGAGCTCCTTTTTCTCGCCAACTGAATTTATTAGGACGTGTTATAACTCGCATCGATTAATTTATATTCATTCTGCTTTATTTGTTGGGATTCTGCAGAAGATTTGATTTGAAAAGGTCCCCAGTGGGGAGCCACAGCCTGAAGCGGCCCTCAGCACTGGCAAGTGCTCCAATGCGAACAGTCACATCGCTCCAGGCTGCGGTGACAGGGAGACCAGCAGAGGCCGAGAGGCAAACTTCAGAGCCCCTCCCTGAAAGCAGTGCTCTCAGCACAGCCAGGCTCACGCTATGGCCTTAGAGACGCCCCAACGCAAGAGGCCAGACCCAGTTTCCATGGCGGCTGGGGAGGCGCTAGCAACACAACAAGGTGCTGCCAAGCGGAAGGGTGTTCATGGTGCTGCTGCCTTTAAGAAACCTCGGAGAGTTTTACATCAGTCAGACAGAGAAAGCAAATGTTTTGCAATACAACGCTGAGTAACGGGTAGAGAATGAGGCACGGACCAAGCCACCCGGGAACATCTCAGGCTAAAGCAAAACCCCCATTACCCAGGTCACCTTAAAGACTTAATGTTGAGTAAGTACAGGACCCAAAGTCTACAATGTTTAGGGTTTAACAAGTTTAAATGTAAACACAAATTTGTAAGACCAATAAAAACTCCTTTTTTCATCTCCATCCCTTTCCCAAACGTTAACTGAAAAGGGTTTCAGAAGAAAGGGGCACTTTCAAGCTTTAAAACGTACAGGGTCAGGCGACTGTTCATTTGCCTGCAGTCATGATTCTCAGTGCTTACCAGTGTCCTGCGAAGCCATCTGAAAAGGAACTAGAAGTGGAAACTGAACTCGAGAGTTTAAAATACTCATTAAACTCAGGGTTCCCTTGTCTTTCTGTTGCCAAAGGGAGAGCAAATGCACGAGGCCGTGGCTGTGTCTGGTGGAACACTGCCGCCTTGTGGATTTCGTGGGTACTGCTACCGGGCCACTCAGCGTGGCTTTACATCAGCACCTCACCTTGCCTTTCATCAGCTGGCATTTTTGTTTCTTTTGTTTACTCTCATATTGTGAACAATATAAACACACTTTTGCTTGAAATTCCGAGATCACACGCCTCTGCTGAAAAACATCAGTTCAGGGGAAATCAGCCTCTACTTGATCTCTAAGGCACATTTCATGTTTTGGTGAATTTGAATCCTTCAATAATCAGATTTATTTTTAAAATGTAAACATGCATAATAAATATTATTATAAGATATAAAATATTACAAATATTATGTTATAAAATATGTATTATAAGATAAACTCTAAATCTGCAAGGGTAATGACTTTTTACATATTAAAATATATATTTGAGAGAAACTGATTTTGCTATTTCTGCTTTCAAATAGCCTTAATTAATGTACTTGCATTTTCCATGCTGAAGTTAGAAACACACACTTTGGAACATTGAAAATCCTTCCTCTGTTCTACATTAGCATTAGATACTAAAAATGGCGTCATGACAAGTTTAATGAGGACGTATTTTAAAAACCAATTTTATCCACAGAAAGGAAAGCAAGGGACTGAGAAGCCACCTAGGAGAGGATGGCAGGCACTCGGCACCCATAACGACGGCGCGAAGGCTGAAGCTGGCAGATGCACCAGCTGTTCCAGTGGAGCTGTCACAGCTGAGTGTTTCACGCTCTCCACCCAAAACCTCCTGCAGCTCCAGGACACACTCGTGATTTTGCAAAGATCAGGCCATCTTTATAAAAGATAAGGTATTGATAAAACATGGAACCTGGAATAAAGTATCTGCATTATAAATACATCACAGGTAAGTGTGTTCTCGGAGTAAAGATGGAGCCAGTAATTACACACAAGACAGCCATTTAGATGCTGAGTGAGCACCTACAGGGAAGTCACACCGCCGTGAGGAGACAGAGCTGCCTTAACGTTCTAAACTACACACAAAAACACCAACGGCACCCGGGAACAGTGTCTGAAATAACTATTTACAGTATCTCAAACCTAAATGAAAGGGAAAAATCGTCAGTACAAGGATATACTTTGTACTAAAAGGAAAGAACTTTTTCACAAATCTAAACAACTAGTGTCCACTGTTTCATGCTGTTCAAATTCATACTTTTTAAAATATTTTATTGATTTTTTACAGAGAGGAAGGGAGAGGGATAGAGAGTTAGAAACATCGATGAGAGAGAAACATCGATCAGCTGCCTCCTGCACACCCCCTACTGGGAATGTGTCCGCAACCAAGGTACATGCCCTTGACCGGAATCGAACCTGGGACCCTTCAGTCTGCAGGCCGATGCTCTATCCACTGAGCCACACCGGCCAGGGCTCAAATTCATACTTTAGGTCCACGTGCAGAGAAACAAACTCGTGCGTAATCGGGGCCACATTCGGGGGCTGGAGGTCAACTAACAATCGCCCAGAACACGAAGGGAACAGGAGGTGGTGGGTGAGAGCTGAGAGGCGTGAGATGCCGAGAAGCGATAAAGTTAAGCTTATCAAAACTCTGCAGAGTATCAGGCAGAAATATCATGATGTGATGTTTTGTATAAATATCTTCAAGTACAGAAATAGCACTACTTGAATAATTTAAAAATACCAAACTCCTGGCTGGCGTTGCTCAGTGGTTGGAGCCCAGCCTGAGCACCAAAGGGTTGCAGGTTCGATTCCCGGCCCTGGTTGGGCTATGTGGGAGGCAACCGATTCTCTCTCTCTCTCTCTCTCTCTCTCTCTCCCTCCCTCCCTCCCCCCCCTTCTTCCCTTCCACTCTCCCTGAAAAGTCAATGGAAAAAATATCTCCAGGTGAAGATTAACAAAAACAAACAAAAAAAGTAAATAAATAAAGATACTGAATTTAATATAAAGGCATCTATAATGCCTGTTCAACAAATAGCTATTTCAATGAAATGAAAGATGGCTGCCATTCTCAGGCTCTCAAAATGCATTTGATCGTTTTTAAAAATGAATATGCAGAATCAAAATAAAGGTTGGCATTATCCTTATCACAAAACTATTCTGACTATAGCATCCTGAGTAAGACTTCTTAAGCAGTGTCAAAACAAAAATTTTAAACATTATCTTCATGAAAATTCTTAAAATTGATCTTTTCAAAACCTCTATCATTGCTTAAAATGCTTTCTAGAAAATATGAGAAATAAAGTTTTATAACTAAAATATTTCAGTGGCTGTGTAAAACACTATAATAAAAAGTCGACAGAAGATCTTAATCTACAGTTTTAATTTTACTCCCTTTCTTCTTACTAAATATATGTTAACAAAAAAACACCCCTCAAATGATCGAGACAAAAGCTTTTAGCTCAACACATAATTGCAAGGAAATTACAATAATTGTACCAATTAAAATAATCTTGAATGAACAGTATGTCATCTTAATGTTCCAATGGTTTATAGAGGGATCTACTTAATTAGCTGAAATTGCTTTTCAGTGTTATATCAAATGTCATTTGTTAAAAGTTGAACAATTTAGAAAATAATTTAACAAAGCAATTTTACCAAACACTAAGAGCCAACATTTTCTTTTTCAGCGAATAAAGCAAGCAGCTGTGTCATCAAATTGCTATAAAAGTAAATGAGGCTTTTTATGGATTAAAAAAATTTTACTACTAGCGTTAAAAACACTATTTTCTGATTGTTTTTACCAAGTCAGAATTATTTAATAAAATAAATGAATATCAATTATATACTGCTGCTTTCTGTCTGCTGTAAATAAAACTTTTTATTTAAAGGACAAACAATGGCATCAAAGAACTCAACTACAGTTAACTAGAAACAGTCATCGATATTATTCTAACATATTCCAACATGATTTTTCAATATGTTGATCAAATTCTCTTCCCATAGTTTTTCATTCAAATCATCTTAAAGTTAGTTCTTTTGAGTCAAGTTCTTCATGAATTCGCCAAGACTCTCACTACACTGTATTTTCTCTTCCTTAAAGCATCTACAAAGCATTTGTAAGTATTTGTAGGTGTATAAGACATATCTATTTCTTAAAAGAAAAAAAGGGGGGGGCACCTCGAAATCACCCTGAACCCAACCCGCTCACAGATGGCAGCCCCCGCAGGCTGAGGTCTGAAGGACGGGAAGTAAGTGGCAGACAGAGTCTCCCCATCTCATGACACCTCCAGCATAAACATTCTACATTTACTTGAACAAAATCCCCTATAAAAACTCACTCTACACTATTTTACTTGTATAATAAAAATACTCCCTCAAAACATTTCTTTGGCAAGTGTTCTATTTCACAGAATGAAAAAAGTACTATTCTCTTTAAACTATAGGTGATACATTGTGTTTTGTCCTTAAGCCATATTTTAATTAAAAATGTCATTTTTTGAAGATTTCCTTGAACATCAGGAAGTCATATAGCTTGAAGCGCTCAAATGAAAATCAGGGTGAACGCTTTCAGAGGGCAAGCAATCCTCTACCGGCAAAGAACAGCACTTTCAGCCGGAAAGCTTTCCATCCCCAAAGAACCGGTAGCCCGATCCTGACCACACTTCCTGATTGGCTGGCTGAACCCCAGGTGGCTGCTCCTCCAGTCCTTTCTAAAGTGAACACAAACTCCTGGACGCTCACAGGGTAAGAACAAAGGACGTGTGTGGAAGTGACCCTCTAGTGGCCCAGGAGAGGGTCTCTATATAGTCCACTCCCAGGGCGCCAGGTGCCGTCTACATCTGTCCCTCACCCCACGCACCCACCTCCTGGCCCGCAACACATTGAGGCAAAAAGGACAACCACTTAAGCTCAGTTGAAACTCACCCTACACCCACATCAAGTGAAGAAAGCGACTGAATATAAGCAAACAGTAAGTTCCTTTATTATTTAATGCAAAGAATCTGCTCCAGTCAGTATTCAGTTTCTAAAACCCTTCAGATATAAAGCTGAGAAATACTTGTACCAATGATTTGGAAAATGTAACCTCCTTAATAGTCCATGAAGACACATAGAATAAAAAATAAACGGGAAACAAATAATAATGTCTTAGGCACTGCATTTCGTAGATATAAGTACATAAAGCCGCGAGGACTGGTAATTACACATTTTATCACATTAGGTCGCACTGAAAAAGGAAGCTGTGAATGTCACACGATGGGAATTACACTTGTGCTAATACAGCTCCCAAAGTAAATGAATTAGTGAGAATCCTCCATTGAATTTAGAAGCGTCCATTTTATACATAATGTTTTGTATTCATTTTGCTTTATATGAATTAACTTTTTTCTGAAAAGTCAATTCGATGTAAAACCAAGTTAAACATAAAGAGATTCAGTACCTTTCATAGATGGTTTTCAGCGTCATCTGATCCGGAATCCCTTCCGTCTCCTCCAGGTACAGGATGAGCCAGGACGTGCGGTACGGCCACTGCTCTGTGAGGTTGATCCAGCTGGCAAGGCGGTCCCAGTTAAAACTAATCTGATTGGCTCTCAGCAGCCGCCCTTTAAGGAGCGCAAGAACATTTGTGAATTAATAGACGTGTGATGTTATGCTAAGCAAAACACTGAGCATAGTCACAAATCATTTAATGTCCCCAAATCTTTAAAATTTGCCATTTAATTTACACAACATATTCAAACTAACTAAATGTAAATCTCTATATATAAAAGCCTAAGCGACTGTCTGACGGTTTGGTAGCTATGACGCGCACTGACCACCAGGAGGCAGACGCTCAATGCAGGAGCCACCGAGCTGCGGTGACTTGGCAGCTGCGCAAGTTGGCAGCTGCGGTTCTCAGGTGACGCACCCGGAACCAGAGAGGAGGGAGCCCAATTCCAGGGTGTCACCTGAGAACCGCCCTCTCGCAATCCGGGACCCCTCAGGGGATGTAGGAGAGCTGGTTTCGGCCCGATCCCCGCAGGCCAGGCCAAGGGCCTCTGGTGTGTGTCTATACAGAAATATATATATTGTAGAAGCCGTATATATACATATACATATATGTATATGTATATATACGGCTTCTACAATCCAAAGAGCTCTACTGGAAAGCTCCTAGAATTACACCCAACTCTGCTGAATTCTAAGGTGATCTCTGTGTGATTTCCCACTGCTGCTGCCCTGACCACACCCACGCAGCCACAGTCTTTCAGAACCGTGTGTCAGAGAGGACAGTCTGGACACTGCCCCCACCACACAGCAGAGCAGTTGCTGCTCTTGCGACGGCCCATCCTCCAAGCAGTGCAAGAGCCCGCTGCTGGCCTTGAGCAAACCAGCTGTGCCGGCCACTCTCGCTCTCGTGTGGGTGAGTGTGCGAGCCCCACTTTCATTTCTAGGGCTGAGGTGCCTCTGGGAACGACCAACCAGGTGGTTATGATGTGTTCCCAGGACTCGCTCTGTTCCCTAACCCTGTCCACCCGGGGTTCTCTGGGAACCCCGCTCACATTCGGCACGGGGAGAGCTTACAGGTGGGCAGCTGCAATCCTCAATCTTTTAGAACTCATGCCTTGTTTCGCTGCCTCATCATTTTATCCCTGATTTTGTTGGGATTCTGAACCGCAGATATTTTTGCTTTTTAATTTTGAACATTATCCATTTTACTTGATCATTATCAGTTTATATCCAGTTGTTCTGGCTCAGATGAATTCTCCCTCCCCTACAACTACAATACAGACCCCCACCCAACTCTTCCTGCCTCACCCCCTCGGCCTATCTGCCCGGCCACGCGACACTGCAGCACCGGGGCTGGGCCCCTCTTCCTTGGAAAGGGGTTCTGGTCACTGGACCAGGGACAGGGCCTTTGCCTTCCACTCAATTAAACCTGAGAGGAAATCAGAGGCCTCTTTAAATTGTCACATTCTGAAATAACAGTGCACACTGATGGCTGATTTTTGTTGTCAAAACTCACTTTGGTTTTACTAAACACCCTTAAAGCAAATATTACGCCTTCAGCAATGCAAACACCCAAGCACAGGACGTCCCCCTGCTCCTGAAACTGAGCTGCTCCGTGCGCGTGAAGGCTTGTCTGCCGTGAGACAGGAGGAGAAAAGTCACCTGTCACGGAAACAATATTGAGGAGCCTCCGCATGGTCTGAGGACTGATGTCACTGAACCAGTCCTCCGTCACCAGCAGCTTCGTCAGGTCGAAGGACATCTGCCGCGTGATGGTCCGCTGCATCTGCCTCCTGCGGTAAGTGTCCTGAGGAACAGAGCGCGAGAGTCACCTGCACGCCGGGGCTCGGCTCCTGTGACGCTAACACAGGCTTATGACGCAACAGCAACAAACCTCACCCTGCAGGCCAAGGGCGGAATCGCACCCGCCAACAGCCCCCTTACTCCGAGGAGGGCTCAGGCCTTAGAAAACACGGCCGCAGGCGGCCCAAGCCCTGGCACGCTGAGAGCGAATGAGCGTCCTAGTTGTGCGGCCGAGTGAGCTCGATGCCTGGGAGATCACACGCAAGCAGGACTCCGCACGGAGAATTCAACTCGGACTCTAGGAGCTCAGGCTCACAGGAGCCCTGAGATGACGAAGCCATAACTCCTTGCGGGGCTTTAAGGTTCAGCATTTCCCAGGGCAGATACTCGGCACGGGAGGTCACACCCTGCTCCTGACTTAGCGTTAGCGGCCACTCATCACATTAATATGCATCCATATTTGCACAGAGTAGAGGCATAAAATCAGAATGTCAAAATGTCACTGAAGACATTTTTAAATGCCAAAGGTCCAAATTTAATGGTAACAATCTTAAAACCAAACAAAAAACCACCTAAAACAGGGCCAATCAGCGCCAGCCCACCTAGCCTTCCTCAGTGCACTGCGGCCACACGGAGAGGTCTGGGAGTGGGCAGGACAGGGAAAGCAGAGGGTCGGGAGACCCACGGAGGGCACAGCACCCTGGGGAGGAGGAAGGCCTCCCTCCCCTCCCAGCTGTGGTGGCCACGGGCACTGGGCGACACCGTCGGGCTCACTGGGTCTGGGTCCGGAGCGGCGTGTGGCCTGAGGACCGGCTGGGAGGGACGGGGCTCCTGCGTTAGTCACTGTGGCTTAGGGTCAGACATGCCCGCAAAGCCACTGACGCGGGAAGGAGTCCAGTGAGAACATGCATTGGCCGAGCTTGGTGCACTGTTTACAAAAGGTGATTTAGTGCCATCAGCTCAGCTTTATTTGAGTAACAGCAACACAAACACGGGGCTCAAAAGAGACGGCGTCTTACCCGTCTATTGAGGGCTGTCTTGCTGCCAAGCTTTGTCATATCTCCAAGGCTGATCTGTGAGACTCTTCTGTCGGCGTCGTCCTGTGTTCCTTAGAGAATTTACCGAGAGCACCGTTAGCACAGCCTTCTGCTGCGGGACAGCTCAAGGGAAGAAGCCCGCCTGCAGCCTTCAAGGTGAAGGTGAGCCACACGCACAGGACTGCGCCCACGCGCCCACCGCCCTGCCAGGTGAAGGTGAGCCACACACACAGGACTGCGCCCACCGCCCTGCCAGGTGAAGGTGAGCCACACACACAGGCCTGCGCCCACGCCCAGGGGCTGGCCGGCACCTGCGGCGTCCGGGCAGGGGATGTCCCCGTTGGTGGTGGAAGTGACGAGGTACTTCTTGGCGCTGCTCAGCCCGCGGCTGTTGAGGAACACGGGCAGGTGCACGATGTTGCGCATGTAGTCGTGGCCGTTGATGTTGGAGTCGCGCAGCACGCTGTTGAGGTTCTGGTTGATGGCCTTGATGATGATGTGCGGGTCGCTCGCGAAGATGGCGATGAACGGCCCTTTGGAAAACAGCACTCGGACCTGCGGGCGAGACGTGCGTTCGCCGTGCAGCTTTAAACTGCCCAGCGTCTCAGAAACTCCCTCCCAGACCCGTGCATCCTTTGGTGACTGGATATTTTTTAAAACTGTTTTTCATCCAATATTATTCTATCTGAACACAGCTGCTACTGAAGCCTCCATCTGGTTCTGCACCATCTGACACTGCACAGCTGACGGTGACGGGTGGACAGGAGAGGGGCGGCCAGCCCGCGGAGAGGCCCTCGGGGACATGCGAGAGGCACGGCACACCGGTCTCTGCCATCACACGCTGTTGCTCAGCCACACCTCACGGAGAGGCACCCATGTGCGGCTTTTACAAAACACGGCGAACCGCGCGCCCTGCTTCTCAGCCTCACCAGACGCTGGGCCACGCGGGACCGCGAGCCTCCCCTCACTTCCTCTCACTCTGCCAGCACGTGCATGTTCTCTAAACTGTCTACGAACGTTCACTCTCTCTACGTTTCTGCATAAAGATGGTGACTTTTACGAAAGAAAAGTGCAATTCCAATGCCCCGCGAGCTGTGCCCGCAGCCACCCTCCAGCGTGACGAGCCCCGCGGGCGGCGGGCACACCGTGTCCAGCATCTGCAGCACTTTGTCCTGCTCGCAGGCGTCCAGCCCGTCGATGATGACCACCAGCCGCGTCTGGTTCTGCGTGAAGCTGTCGATGGTCTTGGCCATCCTGGCCATCAGCTCCACCTCGCACTTGAGAACCTGCGCGCGAGAGAGAGACAGACGCACTGAGGGCGGCGCATCCTGAGCCTCACAGAAGCCACCGACAAGGACACTCCCGGCCTTCCTGCCGCCACGGTCCCGCCCGACCCCAAGGGAGGGCTCCACGGGGGACAGCGGACAGCAGTTCCCCCCACAAGGAGGGACACCCCGTCACGGCCTTTGAAAAAGTTACTCAATTGGGCTGAGCGACTTCTTTCCAAGATCACATTCTCTGAAGATCACAAGTCTGAGACCTGAATGGAAATCTAAGTGACCCAACCCCTGCGGCTCCTGACGGGACGTGGCCTTTAATTCAAGGACGTTGTCCTCAGTCCCTCTGCTCTGCCGGGTCCAGGCCCCGAGGACCCAGGCCACTAGGCAGGAATCACACCGTGAAGGACCCCTTTCGCTAGCTCCTTTGCGTCTCTTATAAAAGTCTATTTTATAAAAAGATGCTCTTGTTCTAACTTTTCCCACTCGATGTGCATTTCCACAGGAGAAACCTGGGCTGACACTGAAGCCACCGCGGCGCTGTGCCCTGAGAGAGCACGCGCCCCACAGCCCCGCGGGCAGGGCCCCGGGTGCCCCTCGAGCGGCCGTCCGCCAGCCCCTAGTGAGCGAGCGCACACCTTCATGAAGCCTTCGCTCTTCAGCTTGTGCAGCCTGGAGGCCGCGCTGTGCAGGCGCTTCCGCTGGGAGTTGAGGAGTGAGTCCAGCACCTGCCACCAGGTGCGGCAGTTGAGCACCACGGCCAGCCCCACGACGGCCGCGATGGCGATGAGGACGGCGTTCACGGTCAGGTGCTTCGGGTCCACCCGGAAGATGGCCAGGAGCGTGACGCCCGCAACCACGCAGCCCAGCACGAACAGGAAGATGACGAAGGACGGGAGGCAGCACGTCTTCTTCCACTTCCTCTTCCCTGCAGGACGACGGTCTCACTGACGCTCATGCCAAGATGCAGAGCATCCCCCTCAGCACGGGAGGCCGAGGCCGACCCGATGTCCCCTCGTCGCATCGCGTGCTGGCCACACACACACACACATAGCACACACACATAGCACAGTCACACATAGCACACTCACACACACACACACACACATAGCACACACACATAGCACAGTCACACATAGCACACTCACACACACACACACACACATAGCACACACACATAGCACAGTCACACATAGCACACTCACACACACACACACACACATAGCACACACACATAGCACAGTCACACATAGCACACTCACACACACACACACACACATAGCACACACACATAGCACAGTCACACATAGCACACTCACACACACACACACACACATAGCACACACACATAGCACAGTCACACATAGCACACTCACACACACACACACACACATAGCACACACACATAGCACAGTCACACATAGCACACTCACACACACACACACACACATAGCACACACACATAGCACAGTCACACATAGCACACTCACACACACACACACACACATAGCACACACACATAGCACACTCTCACACACACACACACACATATAGCACACACACACACATACACAGCCACACACACACTCACACACACACATTCACAGCACACACACACTCACATATACACACAGCACCAGCAGGGAGCAGGCCCTACCCTGCGAGTCTTCCGTCTTGAACACTCGGAAGAGCCTGGTGGCCAAGAAGCCAAACTCGCGCTCGCAGGCGTCCGAGAGGGTGGCGATCATCTCGGCCATGGACGTCTCCCCGCCGACACTGGACAGGCGGTTGTAATCCGTGAACAGGAACCTGCCGGGAGGAAACGGCCTCAGCTCTCCCAGAAGCCCCTGCGCATCGCCTGTGTCAGGCCCCTCCCTGTCTATGTCTTTTTCAGAAAGATGCATCATCTAGTGCAGCGGTTCTCAACCTGTGGGTCGCGACCCCTTTGGCAGTCGAACGACCCTTTCACAGGGGTCGCCTAAGACCATCCTGCATATCAGATATTTACATGACGATTCATAACAGTAGCAACATGACAGTTATGAAGTAGCAACGAAAATAATTTTATGGTTGGGTCACAACATGAGGAACTGTATTTAAAGGGCCAGAAGGTTGAGAACCACTGCTCTAGACTGTTTCATTTATAGCTTAAACCTCGACCAGAGACTTAAAAATAAGTCATAAAATATTCTATTCGAGTTGCTCTTTGAAGTAACGGAATTGCTTACATTTGAATTCCCTGCACGATTCCCCTCCCTCCCTCCCGGAATGAGCTCTCCTCCACCAGCAGACAAGCCCGGCTTTCACGCCGTCTGGGGCCCCACTGCCCCGCACTGCACTCTGCTCTCCACTGAGGCTGTGTGAAGTGATCTCTCTTTTTAAAGTGATACCATCTTGTTAGTTTAAAATGTGTCCTTTCCTGTAAAAATATTTCCCCCAATTACTTTATTCTACTCTGTAAGTTTTCTTTTCAACTTTTTATGTTTAAATCCTTTTCTTAACACTGACTCTCTTACCTGCAGGCTTATGTCTTCCTTCTTCTCATGTTACAGCTGCGACAGTTTGTGTGGTTTGGCCTGTTTTCATCTACAATTGCCCATGTTTTACCTTAGTCACTGTGACTTCTTCCTTTCAGTCCATGTGGAATTCTCGTGCTCATTTCCACTGACTTCCTCCTGCTTCAGCTGTTTCCACTGCTTCCCCCGCAGCCCCGCCCCGTGCCTGTGCCCCTCGCACCTGTGCCCTCACACCTGTTCTCACCCTCCTGCATGTCTCCCCAGATGTTTCCCACATGACATTACTGATAACGTCAGGCAGGCAGGTAGCACGTGCCCACAGGTGTGGACGAGCAGCGGAGCACAGCGAGCTGCCCAGTCACAGCCGGCACAGGAGGTGCCAGGACCCAGCCCAGGGCCACGCTCTGTCCACAAGTGTCGCACGGACAGCAGGTGTCACAGGGGAGGGGGCAGGCACATAGATAAAACCTGCAAATCCAAGTTAAACGGATTCTTCATGGGCAGGTTCTCTGACCTCTGATGTGCAGGAGGAGATGGGACACGGAGTGCTTCTCAGTGTCCTTGACCAGGCCGGCTGTTGGTTTTACTTCTGTAAAAGCTTCTGAAGCGGGCACTGAGAATGCGCATACAAACTGGATTGTGCCTCCTCGTGTTAAGTCACTGTCGCAGGGACCGACTCACCTCACGGGCAAAGCCTTCGTGGTCTGCTCGGGCAGCTCGGGCGGGTTCACAAACATCAGCTTGAGGAGCAGCTCCAAGTACCCGATGTGCCTGGCCAGCCTGGTGCTCAGCACCCAGGCCCAGTTCCAGCTCTCTCCTTCCCTCCGGCCACCGAAGTAAATGACGGCTGAAACACAGAGTTAAAATAATGACCACACCCCCAGGGCCAGGCAGCCCCTCCTCCCAGCAGCCAGACAGCAAGTACGACGGCAGGCCCACGCAGCTCTTCCTGGTCCTGCCACTTTCTCCACCCTCCCCCACCCCCGGCTCCTCCATGCATGAGCCTCCGCCACACACAGGAGGCATGAGCAGGGAACGTTAACAGCTGAAACACAACATAAGTAAGACGATGCCTTCCACAGAAGCATGATCAGATCCCAGAGCAAATAACGTGGGGTTTGTCACTGTTTCCTTTCTTACAACTACAGACACCCCAAGGACATGGGTTTTATATTTTTTCTTTGCTTTTATATAAAAATTACAACCATGATCAAAACGCTCAAGAACATGCCAGCGATACTACGAAGACTTATTTTCAAAACAAGATTTAAATACAAAGCGCTAACAAACATACACGTGGCTGAGTGCAGTGAACTAGGGTTCTGCTTCACTACTGACAAGCAGACTCTCGTCTTCAAAGCTGCTCCTGCCAGGCTGTGGGCACGCTCCTCTAGGCCAGCGGTTCTCAACCTGTGGGTCACGGCCCCTTTGGCGGTCGAATGACCCTTTCACAGGGGTCGCCTAAGACCATCCTGCATATCAGATATTTACATGACGATGCATAACAGTAGCAACATTACAGTTATGAAGTAGCAACGAAAATAATTTTATGGTTGGGTCACAACATGAGGAACTGTATTTAAAGGGCCAGAAGGTTGAGAACCACTGGGGTAGGCCAATTTACAAAGCAGCAAAAAGACCCATTTTTTAAGTGATTTATGAAATTCACTTAAAGGTCTTGAGAAAGAGGTGTAGACCATGTTTTAGGTACAAGAGTCTTGACATTCTCCACGTCTTTGCAAACAGCAGCAGCGAAGACTTACTGAAGAATATGTACAGGAGCGCCAGGCAGCTCAGAGACACGGCTACTCCGAGGGTCAGGTCAACCGTGAAGGCGACCAGCAGGCCCAGGCCCCCACAGAGCAGCAGCGTCAGGAACACGACCAGCCAGGAGAACTGGAAGAGAGGCTCGGTCTGCTGCCCCGCGAAGGTCTTCATTTCATCTGGGAGAGTGAGCAGAAAGCTTTATTCCTGCTTTAAGAACCAACTCCAAACTTCACATCTATATGTACAAAAACCTAAGCGACCAGTGAGGCAGAACTGGTCGCTATGACGCGCACTGACCACCAGGGGGCAGATGCTCAATGCAAGAGCTGCTCCCAGCCCACAGGCCCCAACTGCCGATGGAGCCTGCAGGCCAACCCTCTGGTCCCTCCCTCTGCCAGGCCCCCAGGCTGGGATGGGGAACCAGGATGGGTGGCAGCAGATGCAGCCCCTTTCCCAGGGGGGCCGATGGCCTGCTCCCTCCTCAGGGCTGGCAGCCAACTTCCCAGTCCCTCCCCCTGATCAGCCCATCACCCGCCCACCGAGGTGGTGGTCGGCCCCTACCCCCGGCCAGCAGGCCTCAATCGCCCAATCAGGGCTGGGCCCCAGACTGGGACGGGGAACCGGCAGTGGGTGGCGGTGGACACGGGCGGAGGAGGGGGGAAGGCGGGGAACCTGATCGGCCCTGATCGCCGGCCAGGCCTAGGGACCCCACCCATGCACGAATTTCGTGCACCAGGCCTCTAGTTGAATATAAACATTATGGGGCACTTACTAAGGCCCTAGATAAAATGTTGCTACTTAGCCACTTAACCAAGGTTCTCTTTGGATCAACATAAAAGTCCCATTCCCAGGTTCCAGCCAGCACCCCCTGCTTCCTGTGGAGATGCACCAATCCCTGTCAGGCACTTCCTCCGTCAAGGTGGTGTTGATGGTTGTTTTCTGTGGTTTGTATTATACAAGCAACAAGGTGTTGCCGTAGGTGAACGGAAAACCACTCATACTTCGCTACGTGTCTTCACTAGTGACGCCTCCATTCACTCCTCTCTGAAACTGCTCCTCACCCCTCCTTCCAATCACATCTGAGAAGCGCAGTTCTCAAAGGTGTGTTGAGCCCAAATGAGCTTAAATTAACTCATTCTTTCTACCAAACTCCACATTTCCCCACGTAAAACTCGGTTTTTCTTTTCTTCGCAAAAACTAAAACCACCAGCAAAACCCTGGCTGTGTACGGACCCTCCAGCTTCTTGAGGAGGAAGGACTTGCCGCTGCCCCACTGCGCGTACAGCCCCACGCAGATGGGCGGCTGCATGGTCGGCTCGCTGAGGATGTCCGCCAGGGCGCTGCTGTACAGGTCGTAGCCCAGCATGTCGCCGTCCGTTTCCGTGGGCGACAAGTGTCCTGTAATTATAAACGCACCAGGGCCGTATGTGAGAGAGAGACACTAGAAGGAAACATCCATTCGTATCTATTGTTTATTGAATTAGGAAAAACTTAAATGTGTAAAACAGGTTCTGATCTTAAGTTAATACCACATTTTATAGACCTCAAGACCCCTACTGAGTGTAGGACGCACCATGACCACGTACAACCAAGAGAGAAAAATGCTGCCAATTGCGGCGTGATGCTTTCTACCCGCCAATGGAGGCGCCTTCTGATCTGCGATGCTGAATGCGGAGCAGGGTGCATTCGGGAACAATGTGATGTGTGACAGCTACACACAGAAGGCGACACAGCACTAGCGAAGACCACACCGACTCAGAGAAAAGAGACACTTGATGGTTCCAGACAGAAAGGCTCAATGACTCACAGACATCAATTCTCCCCAAATCAATCTATCACTTTAAGGCAATTCCAATCAAAATCCATGAGATTTTAAAAACTGAAAAGCAAAGACATGTGAAAGTAGCTAAGAAACAATTTAAAGACACCAAAAGCAGGTGTCCATAAAGCTACAACTAAAACATCACAGAACTCACCCAGGAACTAACATAAACACTTCAAATCAGCGGGAAAGAATGATTTGGTGAGTGGTGGTAAGAAGTTAGACATCCATTTAAAAAAATAGAATTATAGCTCCATATACTTCATACCTTGTTTAACAAAAATAAATTTCTGAAACATAAATAAATGTAAAAAGTAAAACCATAAAAATACTAGAGGAGTCTGGTGGGCATGGCTCAGTGGTTGAGCATCAACCTATGAACCAGGAGGTCATGGTTTGATTCCTGGTCAGAGCACATGCCCGGGTTGCGGGCTCGATCCCTGGCCCTGGTCGGGGCATGTGCAGGAGGCAACCAATGGGTGTGTCTCTCTCACATCAATGTTTCTCTCTCTCCGTCTCCCTCCCTCCCTTCCACTCTCTCTAAAAATCAATAAAATAGCCTCGAGTGAGGATTAACAACAACAACAACAAAGAAAATATAAACACAAATGCTCGAGTATTAAAATGAGGCGAAACTGGTCTGTGTTTAGGTAAAGTGTCACTGAGAAGGTGGCGGCTGGCCTCAGCCTTGGAGAGAGAATTTTAACAAATAGAGGCAGCCGTGGGGACGGCGCGGGCAGACCTGGGTGGGCACAACACCAGCCGAGGCAGGGAAGTGTGGGTGCTCGCGCCACCCTCGGAAAACTGTGCGTTTTGATTAGCAGCACAAGGTACGCCTGGGGGACAGTGGCGGGGAGATTTTTAGAAAAGGAGGCGAGATGTTCAGGCCTCACAGGCTGACTGATCGGCCTGAATGCGCGTCATCAGAAAGCTGCCCTGCGGTGCAGAAGAGCTGCGCCAGGGAGGAGCATTGTCCACAGCAAAGTAACGACTATCGTCTCCATGAAGTGGCGGCCGCTAACTGCTGCGGCCTCTTCGTTCCCCGGGAGGAGCAGGCGCAGTACTCACTGGCTCCGAATATCTGAGTCAAGATGCTCTTCTGGTGGCTGCAGTCGATGTTGTAGGGCGTCTCGCCCGCCTTGTTGGGCCGGTACAGCAGCCGGCCGTCCTTGGGGTTCCTCAGGAGCAGCTCCGCCAGCTTCCGGCTCCTCCCGCGGATGGCGATGTGCAGAGGGGTGTCTCCTTTCTGCGGAAGGCGCAGGGGAGGGGGCGGCGTGTCGTCACAGGGGTGCACACGGGAATACCCTCCCGCTGCTGTAAACGACTGCCAATCTGAGCTCTTCCTGTGTCAGACACCAGACCCAAGCCACGGGTACTTCTCTCTCCGCCCCCGGCAATGTCTTCCCTCGGTCCTTTCCTCGCCTCCCTCCGGACTGGCTTCTCCCGCAGCCTCTGAAAGAGGCCCTTGTCCTCCGCCCCCGAGTCACTAGGGAAAGCAGCAGCTCCTCCTGCCGCCCCCGCCCCCCGCCAGGGACCACTCCCGCCCAGGTGAGTAACCACCCTCCCACCAGCATTTATGTCCACTGTCAGGGTCTTCCTCAGCCAGTGCACACCTGCTTCACACCTGCTCCCGCCTCCTCCCCACAACCGCCCGGCTGCTGCCGCGTCCACCATGAAGAGTAGGGAGCAGGCGAGGTGCAGGGGCCCCTCCCCCAGGGGACACCATGCCGTCTTCTCCGAGCCGTCCTCCTCCGGCTCCTTTGGAGTCTGCCCTGCTGGGCATCTGCAACAGCTCCCCCTACCGGGAAGCTGGCACAGCATGGGGCTCCCACCCAGGTGTCCCAGCAGGTGACCTCCCTGCACACACCCAACCAGCCCCCGAAGCCCAGGGCGCAGGCCAGCTGCCGGCCCCTCCCCACCGCCTGCCCCGGCTCACCCTGTCCACGGCAGACACTTTCGCCCCTTTGTCCAGCAGCAGCTCCACCACCTCGATGTTCCGCATCTTGGTCGCCTTTATCAGCGGCGTCTCGCCGTCCTGCGGGCACAGAAGGAAGTGTGTCACCTTGACAGCTTCCCTCCGACATGCTAAGGTCACATGAACACATCTGTGAGAATTCGGGCATCGGCCTCCGGACCAGTCTATGTTCAATGTTCTCCAGGACACACAGCCGTAAAAACATGCTTTTCCTTTCACAACCCATCTTCTGTATCAAAATAATTTGCTATCACTCAGCCGAGCATGAGATGTGGCCCACGACCCAGCAGGGTGTCTGGCCGCAGCTCCCTGCCCACACTGCGGCCGCCACCCCCAGCTCCCCCGAGACCTCGGGCAGCGCCTCCACACTGCCCCAACTTTCCCTTCCTCCCTGAAATCAATAAAAATGTGTTTTTTTAAAAAAGAAAGATGATCAGGGAACCTTCCTGCCCTGTGCACTGAGGTTGGCATCACTGTCTTAGAAAGATGCTTGTCCCCGTCCTTGGAGATGAAATGGGCTTGTCTCATGGGTGACTCCACACGACTGTGTTATTCATGAAGAATTATCACCATTTCACTCAAAAATTCCCAATACATCTTCCCCACGGAAAACTACCACACACGGGCCGGATGCGGCACTGAAGTCGCACCCAGGGGACAGTCCTCAGGGTTTGAGTCAAGCGGATGCAGGGCTGCTTTGGGCACCAACGCCCACTCGCGGGGTCTTCGTGAGGAAAGGGGTCTGCATCCCACACAACGCGGGCAGGAGCGAATTCTGGGGACGACCTGACCACGGCTGGTCAACAGCGGACACTGCATTTTCTGAACGCATTTAACTAACGTAAGAAATGACACACTACGTTTCCCTGTGAGTTCACAGCTCCTGAAAGGACACAGTGCCCCTCAATGTCACATGGAAATTACTAGTAACATCGGTGTCATCCAGTGTCCAGCACGCAGGACTGGCACTGGCTGGTGAGGGGACGGAGGGTCGGCCTACCTTTGTGCATATTTCCGTGTCGGGGTTGCACTGTAAGATGTCTCTCACCATGGTCGCGTTCCCTTTCTCAACAGCCCAGTACAGAGCAGTTTTATTGTCCTGTCAATAAAAACCAGCGATGGCTGCATGTGGGACGCATGCTCTAACATGCTCTTATACATACTAAGGGTCCTCAGGAACCTCCTGCCGACAGCAACGGGAGGGCTCACCCACAGCTGCGTGGCGGGAACACCAGGAACCCTCGCCGCACCCTAGACCGACCTGTGGGGTTTGTTATGAAGGGAGCCTGGGGAGCTTCTATTACTTGGCGTAGAAAGAACAAGCTCACGTGGTCGACAGGTCACGTGCATTTCTGTGCTGTGACCAGGCTTCGGGACCACGCGCTGGGCTCCAAGTCTTCAGGACCTGCGCTCCCCCCGTGGACAAGGGCCCTTGGCGTTCCTTCCCTCTGTCCAGTCTTTTCAAAGGGATGCATGAGGGTGCACTGCTCAAGCTTCGGGTGACTGCTTCCGCCACGTTCAGCTTTCTTAACCGCCCCCGCCCTGCCCACCACCACAGGTGGGCAATCTTGATCACATCCTTTAAAATCCGATCTAGTTCAAAACCCAAAAATAAGTCAACATAGACCTTGAAGTGGAGCTAGAGATTTACTAGTTTGATTCAAAAATGAATTTGGATACAAGTGAATAAAGCAAAAACTGAGCGGAAACCAGAGTGTCCAACAAAATGAGCTAAAGCTCTGAAATACTGGATAAACCCACAAATTTAGGGGTGTTTTACCTAAATTAATAACCTTTGGGCAAAGGCTGCCTTGGCAAAGCCCACAGGCACCACCAGTGCCCAGGAGAGGCAGGCGGACGGGGGAAGGAGGGGTGATGCAGCGGCGGGAAGGGGCGAAGCAGACAGACAGAGGGAAACATAAAGGAAGTAAAGACACTCCATCTGCATAACACACTTCAGCGGCGCCCAGTCTCAGTGCTCTCGGCTGCTCAGTGCAGGACTGAGTGCATCTACATCAGTACAGGGGTGCACTCAAACCCCGAGCTATTTTAACTCACTTCTCTCTAAAGCTAACCTGGCATCCACACAGGAATTCCCTAACAACGCCGTGGATGTGAGAGGCATTGTGAAGTATATCCGGGCTTCCAGCTGGCAGATGGCACTGTGATCAGCCAACCTGACAGCCCATCACACTCCGAGCCCACCACCCGCAGCCACACGTACCTGCCCTCGAATGTCGATGTCCGCGTACTTCTGGAGCAGCGCGCGGACGATTTCCACGTGGCCGCCTCTGACGGCGCCGATCAGCACGGTGTCCCCACTCTGCACAGACAGACCACAGGGGAGTGAGCGGCAGACGGGCACGCTCTGCAGCAGGTCAGTACGTATAATGCAACCACTTTTCCTGAAAATCCTGGGCACAGAGGCCTTTCCCTAAAGGGAGGACTTTGAGGAACTAACAACCCTGAGAGAAGGCCCTCGTGCAGGAAGAACCTAGGGAGGTGGTGGGACATTGAGGTCGTCTCCCATCAACGTCACTACAAGACCAACAGGCACCTACCCTGTCGGGGATGTTCACGTAGGTGCCGGCATCCAGCAGATCCTGCACGATCTCCGTGTGCCCCTCCTTGGACGCAATCATCAGCGCTGTGTTGCCATCCTTGTCTGTCAAGTTCACATTTGGATTCCTCTTCAAGATTTCTTTTACTGACTGTGTGTAGCCTCCTTTTACAGCCACGATAAGTGCAGTCATTGAATTCTAAGCACAGAAACCAGCCCAAGAAATTAATATATTCTAGAAAATATGATTTATGCCATAATAATACAATGATGTTTTCAAGAAGGTGGCCTATGACAGCTATTTCTGACAATAAACTGTCAACATAAATAACCAAAAACACATCACAAGTGCCAGGAGGCGTGTCTTCTATTTTTGAAAATCCATTCACCCCCGAGTCCACAGGACCCTGTGGCCTTCAGTTCTTTCAGGGATGACCCGACAGTGGGCTCGTTCACAGTAAACAACCTCCTCACACAGGGAATGAGTATAAAACAGTGGGGAGGGTGATTCAAATCAAACACATTCAGACTTCAAACGAACAACTGTTTATAACAAAATCTATGGGGGAAACTGAAAACAATTACTTGATAACTACAGAATACTTCACTAAAAGTATATTCTACTTTTTTACAGTGATCTAGAAACCCCATTTTCAAAAACTCTTATTTTAGAGGTTCTTAAAAAACTGCACATCCAGTTTATAACAATAAATCACCTAGCACAAATTTTATGTGCATTAGCCATAGATCCTTAAGAGCAAAACTTGATGCACGTGACACCTGCAATGTAACACACTGTCAGCATCACAGAAAGAGAACGCTTGTCTCCAAGTATCACTGAGACCCGCAGGCGGTTTCTCCAGGTGCCGACAGGAGAACATCCTCTGAAAACGACAAGCACGTGTCACCGGCGGTGAGGACAGGGGCGGTACGTACAGCGCCTTCTTGGTCCACGTCGGCGCCCATGGCCAGGAGGTGCCTCACACAGTCCAGGTGACCCTTTCGCGCCGCCCACACCAGAGGGGTGGTTCCGTACTGTGAAAGCAGCACACATTTACAATCCTATCAGCGGGCGGCCGCAACGTGGATAAACATCATGCTGAGTATTCTTAGATTACTGCCTACACCTTCATAATTCTAATTGTAGCTAAATCACATTTCCCCTTTTATTTCTCCAGGTTAGGTGATTAGCTGCTGCATGAAATACCTTTTAACCAACTTCATCTTTTATCATCAGTGACTGAATTTCCCATCATGAAGTCACACACTGATTTTCCACAAGCCCCTCTGCTTCCATGTCTTGTGAAGCACAAGTTCAAGTGCAGCAGTGTGACTACAGGGGAAAATGGCAACAATCAAGTACCAACCACGGTTCTAGCGACTTCACGTGTAGCCCATGGAATCCTATCACACAAGTGAGGACACGTGGCCATGTCGCATTTTCCCAGATAAGCAACGAGGCCCTGAGAAGCAGTGATGGGCTCAAAGTCACAAAGCTATTAATCAGGAGGTGGAGTTGGACCCTGAACCCACAGCCTGGCTCAGTCCGTGCTCTGACCCACACCCCCCTCAGCTCTGCCCAGGAAGGTGAGCTGCAGCCTCGGACGGCACTCAACAGCACCTCCTGCTGGAATTCGATGCAAAAGGCATCAGACACAACTCGTGCAGAACCAGCCGTGCTCTGTCTTGGGGGGCATGGCGGCCAGAGCCAGGGCCGCCACAGGGACCGTCAGCTCGAAGAGCCCGCAGGCACGTGAGCCTCTGCCGACGGTGTCCCGGGGATGCTGTGCATGGAAATGCCATCGTTCTGCACAGCCCCACCGCAACGCCAGGCACCTACGGCTACTGAGCGCCTGAGCTGGGGCCAGTGTGACTACTTCATCTTATTTTAGTTGATTTGATCAAGGCAGCTATGTGGCCGGTGGCCACTGTGCGGACGGCACCTCTCTGGGTCCCATCAGACACCCCAGGAACCACAGCTACAAGCTGCAGCCCGGCTCTCCCCGGGGGCAGGGCCTCTGACAGCAGCCCAGGTGCCAGCGCCTCGGTGGGAGGAGCCTGCAGAGGGAGCGCAGTGGTCCAGGCCACCCTGTGGAGCAACCTTAGGGGCGGGAGAAGGAATACTGGAGGCACTTCCCCAGCTCACTCTTACATCTCTATTCGCCCAGAATTAAATTCCTTCTAGCTCCTCCTTTATGGAGAACATTTTCTTCTGGCTAAGACGCCTTCCTAAGTCTACAAATGAACAATCTACGACATCTTCAGAGACGCTATAACTGAGCGCTCCTCCTCTGAGCACTCTCTCCTTCCAGAGCGGACTATCCCAGACCACATGCTCCAAACCACCCTCCCCGCCAGCCAGGCCCGCACCCTCCTCAGCAGGGAACTCTCATTGGGAGGGTCCCTGACATGTGGCAACATCCCTGCAGGGGGTACTCGGACCGCCTCAGCAAGTCTCCCCGCTTTTTCTCAAAGCCGGGCCCTCTCCCCAGGAAACCTAACCGCTCCGCGCGCACTATGGACCCCATTTCCCTTGTTTCATCTAGAAACGTACGCAGTGACCTCCTCCTGCGTCCGCGCAGCCTCAGGAGACGGTGTGAAAACTTGTAACTTACACTGAGTGACAGCACGTGGACGGGAGCCTGAGGGGCCTGCTGACCTACCTTGTCGGAGCAGTTGACCTTGGCGCCATTCTGCAGCAGCAGCTGCACTATGTCTGCGTGGCCTCTGCCAGCTGCCCAGATGATGGGGTAGACACTGTACTGCTGGCGCACAGGCAGGCAGGCAGGTGGTGGACAGAGAGGGGAGGGAGGGAGGGAGGCAGGGAGAGAGGAAAGAAAAACCTTTAGGCAGATGCTACAGCACACATTTGCTAAGAAGAGTAAGTAATAAACGGAATAATATGAAGTAATATTTTTAATATCAAATTACAGACCCTTCTCCACTTTAAAAACACACAGCACTCTAGCCTAACTGGCAGCTGAGATGCACTCCACCTCCCCTGGACGCATTTATTTTAGTTTCAGCTCATTTAATCGGGTTGTCAGGCCAACAGGCAGGACTGACAGCAGGCGTGTGAAACTTTTCTTACATAACCCTTCCACGAACTGGAATAAAAGTTCTTTGTTTCAACCTTATTGAGGTGTAGTGGACACAACTGTGAGATAGTTAAAGTGTACATTAAATGATATACCATCAATAAAAATTTATTAATCTGCAATCTGAGATCAAGTCTCGCACAAGGTAGTAGCGAATATATCGCCATCTGTAAGACACAGAAAAATGTCTCTTTTCTTTAAAAAAAAAATTTAGATGGAGATACAGGCCCACAGAACACAGGCCAGAGGACTCAGGGTTTCCGAACTCCTTCCGACATGTTAGACGGTTGTAATTGACAGGGAAGCTCTAGGAGTCGCCTTTTGTTGATACGAATTGAGAAGCTGAGCCTGAGAATGAGGTGCTCCTGCGCTGAGTCCCCCTCTTCATTCTTACCTTTAAGATCTGGGTCATCTCTGTCGCTCTGAAGCCTACAGTGCCCTCAGCTGCGGTCTTCCCCTGAGAACTGGCCACCCACCCTGCAGGTGGGCTTGAGCGCATGCTTACCAGACCAGTGACGTTGGGATTGGCTCCATGCGAGAGCAGCAACTCGACCACGTCAGTCCGGCCTTTATAACAGGCCCACATCAGAGCTGTCCATCCTCCCTAAAAAGGGGCGGGGATAAAATTTTTGGTTATCTCCACGCACAAAAAGGCCAGGAATTATAGAGCTGGACATTCAGTCAAGTCAAGTCTTACATACACCAATATTTAATCTGTAAAATGCCTGCCCAGAATTGTTTTAATATCATGCCCCACTTTAATTTATATAACGTCACCCTATGCCAGACTCTATGAGATAAAAATTTTATCTTGAGAAAACTATGTCCAAATTTGCAAAATGAAGACTGGAACCGACCGCCTTCAGCAAGAGCTGCGGGTGGGCAACCATTGGAGGTGCTCTAGAGAAAGAACCCTCACTAGACTTCCTGACATCAGACCTGGAGGACTCCACCCGCAGGGAACACCTCTCCTCACGCAAGTCCCAGGACCACGCCTTCCCTCACAGGCAGCGGCGACTCCCACCGCCAGTCCATCCCAACACTAAGGGAGACACAGTCCTGTTTCCCCGATTTGTGGTGTTTTACACAAAGACCCTTTACATGTGAAAAGGTGTGATAATTACTTGGGGGGAATGAGAAGTATGGAGAACCTACAGGGCTTAGGAAATCATTTGTTACAAATCTTACTAAACCCTGCACATTCGCGATGTGTGCTTACACTTCCTGACTCCCTTGCAGACATGGGTTCAGAACAGCCTGACTGCTTCACCGCTGAGGGAGCGGGGCCCGGGCCCGCCTTCAGTCTCATTCCCGAGCCACGTGCACTGAGAACAGTGACCCTCGGCCCACAGGATTGTTCCCGGAACAAGGAACAACACAGCAGAAGTGCAGATGGTGGGAGGCTGCAGATTCTTAAAAACTCAGACCACCTACACCCTGAAGCATCATCAGCAAAGTAATGCCTGTTTCACAGATCAGGGCAGATCACCTCCTTTCTTTCTTCCGTTGTTAAAATGAACTTTCCAAAAGACTAAAAATTTTGCAGAATAAATAAGCCAAAAACCTTTCTTAACCTTTATGCTTTAAGCAGATGCCAAGAGCAAACAAGAGCCAAGATAATTAAGAATCATATCTTGTTAAGCTTATCATGTATAGATGGCATGTCTGAACACAATTACATGTTAAAAATATGTTTATAAATGTTAATCTGAAAATTATGACTAAACAACTGAAACGATGTCCCTCTTAAAATTCCTCTTAAAGGAAACATTCTCTCATAAGTTCTAAAACACTGACATACTAAACGGTGGTGAGTATTTTAACAATATTTCAGAATTTTAAACTCTAAAATAAACTAGAGATGATGACTAAGGATATTCTAAAAGAGGCAGATATTATACGGCCTGGGTTTAAACATCCTGAGGGTCATTTAATGACATCCTCAAAACAGCGTTGTGTCACCGCGCCCAAGCTCCCCGGGGTCTGTCACCGATAACAGTCCCCGCCGAGGGCGAGGGGAGCAGCGCCCGCCCGTACCATGTCGCGGTGCTCCAGGTTCCCCCCGCACTTCAGCAGCTCCTCCACCACGTGCAGGTGCCCTTCTTTGGAGGCCGATATAAGCGCTGTCCAGTTGTCCTTGAACACAAGACACTATGTTACCGTTTCAAAACCAAAAATAACATTCAAAATGAGGAAAAAGCAGCCTGAAGACATGTGACTGTGTGACCAAAGGATCATGCCCGACTGCCATTTACCGCTCGGCTCTAACGTAACCCTGACCCTCAGCCGGGGGGAAGGATCTGTCTGCCTGTATTATTACCATGCGCAGAAGTGGTTCCACAACTGCTTGGTCAGTCTTTTCCCCAGACTTCTAATCACACCCCAGGCTTTCTAAAAAGGAGAGAAGATGACTAGCAAAACCTCAGAGCTAATCCTGTGCTAGCAGCCATCGCGCTAAATGAAATTAAAGACCGTAATGAGACTTAAGAACACACTCGCAGGCGGGCAAACTAAAGTGATCCCAGGATGAGTTTAGAAACGATGTGATAAAGAAATCACTTATTCTCCTTTATTTTCTTAAGTAAATTCTACAAGTATCCTATCCTAACTTTTATTCATGAGTGTAATTTAATTCAAATGACCACTCAATAAAAATCATCAATTGAAAATAATCAATTAAAAAAAACAACACACAGGTGTAACCCTAGCCAGTTTGCGTCAGTGGATAGAGCGTCAGCCTGCGGACTGAAAGGTCCTGGGTTTGATTCCGGTCAAGGGCACATGCTCAGGTTGTAGGCTCCATCCCCACTGTGGGGCGTGCAGGAGGCAGCCAATCCATGATTCTCTCTCATCACTGATGTTTCTCTCTCTCTCTCCCTCTCCCTTCTTCTCTGAAATCAATAAAAATATAAAATAAAATGAAAAAAACAGATGCAGGTGTGTAAGTAACCCTAAAAAATAATTCCTGGGAAACAGCAAGAGAATTGAGAGCCTCCCGGAACAGTGATCGACCGCGCAGAAGTGGAGTCAGAAGGCACTGCATCTTCCTGGCTGTGGCCATGTAATGACACTGACAACAACAGACAGCATTAGGCGGCGTAACTGGTAACATGACTCATCCATGGGTATGTTCTAGGCAGGCATTTGATTTCATGTGTGCGCTCCCTAGTCACAGTGCCATCTACATATAACAACATGAAGAGCTGAGAACTTTCATTCAAAGTAAAAACTTCTCTCCCTTTTTAAAAAGTAACTTAGCATATTACTAGGCAAAGTTGATATGTAACTGATAGTATAATTGGTCACCCATTAGTTTAGAATCATTTCATCAAACAAACGGCCAAGTTAAGGAAAAGAAAGAGAAGCCCATGAGCGCCTTCTTTCAGGAGGTACCAAGTCTTCCAGGTTGCAGTTGGCTCCATTCTTGATCAGCTCCTTCACGATCTCCAGGTTGCCCTGCTCGGCGGCTATCATCAGCGGGGTCTGGCCGCACTGGGGACAGAAAGGACACGATCAGGTCAAGTGCTGTGCTTGACCGAGACGCCGTTAGCACCACGCTCTCTTTTCCACAGCGAGACGGCAAGCACTGCTTACAGGGTTTCTTTAATTTAGAGACACCTTTGAAATCTTAAGTTTTCAATTTACTAACAATGTAAAAGTCAAAGAGAGAACAAAACCTTTTTTTACCACAGCATGACTAACCTGTTATCAGCACTGCAATTTCATTCAAAATCTATCAATACCATTAGCACCAGGCTCTGAAAGTAATCACCACAATGTAACAACAACCTTAGGGTACCAATGGGAAACAAATTCTCTCTACAATAGTTACATTATGATACATGTACTATCAGGACTAAAGGGAGAAAGGTTTGCACATATACACATACATGTATATGTGAAAACTAAACTAACTTATGATCTTACCCACTGGCAAAAAAATTATACTACATGAAAAATACAGTTTCAAGAAACAAAATTATTTTTATTATTATGTTTTATAAAACAAGTACATACTTTGCTTAAAAAAATTCATACAAAAAATCTATTAGCCCATAAAATGTTGCAGCTGTTCATGATGAAATAAGATCAACATTTTATTTATATCCCCCAGTCTATTGTTGACTAGAAATATCTACTATAATGAAATGGTAAATGTATACTTCCCTGTCTTATTAAACAGAACAAATGACTATTTAACTCTCTCTTAAAGATACAGGGTCTTTAAAATCCCAAGGTGTGTGGCATGGACACCTCAGAAAGGTAATTGGGGCTCCATTAAAGGAAATATTTCAAAGTCTTAATTTTGTTTGGCTAATCTATGTATAGAAGCTCTCTGGAGCATCCTAGAAGCACGTTAGATTTTAGTAATCAAACTTCCTGAATATTGATTATTCCATCTGCAAAAAAGGCAATCATAAATCTAAATTCAATACATAATAATTTATGTAAGTTCAAATGCATTCCAAAAATATGGAATTGGAAGTACATTAACTGTAAGAAATTGTCCTTATTTTAAGTCAGTATCACCAAGGGAGTGATACTTTCTTACTCACTCACCTCGACCCGTGCACACTGCCTGCACACGGGGCACCACGCACGCTGCCTGCACACGGGGCACCACGCACACTGCCTGCACACGGAGCACCACACACGCTGCCTGCACACGGAGCACCACACACGCTGCCTGCACACGGGGCACCGCACACGCTGCCTGCACACGGAGCATCACACACGCTGCCTGCACACGGGGCACCGCACACGCTGCCTGCACACGGAGCATCACACACGCTGCCTGCACACGGGGCACCGCACACGCTGCCTGCACACGGAGCATCACACACGCTGCCTGCACACGGGGCACCGCACACGCTGCCTGCACACGGAGCATCACACACGCTGCCTGCACACGGGGCACCGCACACGCTGCCTGCACACGGAGCATCACACACGCTGCCTGCACACGGGGCACCGCACACGCTGCCTGCACACGGAGCATCACACACGCTGCCTGCACACGGGGCACCGCACACGCTGCCTGCACACGGAGCATCACACACGCTGCCTGCACACGGGGCACCGCACACGCTGCCTGCACACGGAGCATCACACACGCTGCCTGCACACGGGGCACCGCACACGCTGCCTGCACACGGAGCATCACACACGCTGCCTGCACACGGGGCATCACACACGCTGCCTGCACACGGGGCACCACGCATCCCTGTGAGGAGGAGCAGCGCCGCCCGGTCTCACCTCGTTTCTCTCGTCCACGTCTTTGCATTTCTCCAGAAGCGCCTTCAGGGCCGGGATGTTTTCCTCCTCCACATAATTGATCACACTCTGTGATATCAGAACCGACATGTTTGCAGAGGCTGCGGTTACCTTTATCCCAATACCTGTGGAAAGCAGAGATAAAATACACAGGGTTGCCCTAGCTGGTTTGGCTCAGTGGATAGAGCGTCGACCTGCAGACTAAAGAGTCCCAGGTTTGATTCCAGTCAAGGGCACATGCCCGGGTTGTGGGCTCGATCCCCAGTGGGGGCCATGCAGGAGGCAGCCGATCCATGATTATCTCTCATCATTGATGTTTCTCTCTCTCTCTCTCCCTCTTCCTTCCTGACATTAATAAAAATAAAATAAATAAAATATACAGGGTTTGTGATTAGAAAAACAGCGCCCCTTAGCTTGTACAGATCACCTCCACTGGGCAGGACTAAAGGCAAAGCGCCCCAGCTCAGCGGGCGAAACGCCCGCTCCTGTCTTTCCCAGGCTCACACTCCCCTCAACCTAACTCATCCAACTCCCACCCCATCTTCCCCATGAAAGAGAGTGCTCCCTTGCTCCCCCGCTGTCTTCCCGCCTCAGTAAAGGCAGCTCCAGCTCCTCCTTCTAAGGCCAAAGCCTCCCTACGACTCACCTCACCCTCTCACTCTGCAGCCCATCTCTGAGCAACGCTCTGGGCTCTGCCTAGCAATCAGATTCACCTGATTACCCCTCACCACCCCACACCCCGCCTGTCCCGCTGCCAGCACCTCGACCCACATCCCCTGCTCTTCCTACTTCCGTTCTGCCTGAAGCCTATCCCACAGGCAACCAGGGGATGGAGAGCGAAGCTGCCCAGAGCTCCTGAAGGAAGCCATCGCCTGCACCAGGACCGCCGAGGCCTTGTGAAGCAGAGGCCTGGCCCTTCGCTCAGAGACTCTGCACAGGTCTGGGCGAGGCCCCTGGGTCTGTGTCCAGCTCCCTGCGATGCTGCTGCGGAGCCGCTGCCTGCAGAACCACCTTGAGCAGCACCGAGTCAGATGACACCTTCCTTGCTCCCCGCCCTCCAGCGGCTCCTCTGAGCAACAAGGTGGACTGGCATGTGTACTCCGGCCCAAGTGGCATGGAGGTCCACCTCTGACCTCATCCCCTACCACCCCTCGCCCATCTCACTTGAGCGGACGGCACTGCGCCCCTCAGGCCTCTGCACTAACCAGGCCCCCAAGGCCGCCCCTCAGCCTCCAGTCACCTCACCAGGACCGGCTGCCCATGTCACTTACCCACAGCGGCCCCGGCCCACTCCGTGTTCTCCGTGGCACTTATCACCATCACAGATACAGCACGTGCGTGCTTACTGCCCACCCACCACAACCAGAATGTCAGTCCCAAAGTGTAGGAACTTGGTTTTATTCAACTGGACATTCAAATGCAAATAAATAAACAAACCTCAGCTCACTCATACCATGCACTAAATACACACACTAACACAAAGCTGACCTAAAGGTCATATCAAAAGCACAAACTTCCAGAAGAAAACAGACTATTTTGGGTAAGCAAAGATGTTTTTCGATATAACATTAAAAGCATTGTTTTTTTAAAAAGAAAACTGATAAAGTGGAGTTCACCAAAATTAAAACCTTTGCTTTGCCAGGAGGATAAAATTGTTTGGGCCTGGCGACGACGTTTGTTCTCCCCGCCCACTCCTGGACGGTGTCTGCGCCTGGCTCCCAGCCTGGCCCTGCACCGCCCTTCACAGCACACGGCTTCTTTCCTGAGGTTCACACGTGGACAGGAATCATGCCGACAGGACAGACGACAGACCCGGAGCCTCACTCACACCTGATTTAGATGATGGAAACTAGAACTTTTAAGCTGAAGTTCGAAAGGATTTTGGGGGCTGAGCTGATCCTGCAATGCGCTGAGACTTTGGGGGGCCCTGGGATGGGGTGAATGTGGTGTGCATGTGGGACGGAAGCCTATCTTTGGGGCCAGAGGACAGAAACTGCTGACTGCATGATTCCATCTAATGACATTCTTGAGAGGGAACATGAGACAGACAAAAACAGATCAGAAGCCGTCAGGCTTAAAGGTGGGGAAGGCAATGACTACAAGTGGGTCTAAGAGAATTTGGGGAGTAGATTGTCGTATATCCTCACTGTGGTGGTAATTACACAATTATATGGCTTTGCCAAAATTCAAAGTTTAACACTAAAAAGTGAATTATATTACATTATATGTAAAGTATACCTGAATGATACCTTACTTTTAAATAACCATCAAAAAAGGTTATGTTATTTGATCCTGTAACTTTATTCTAAGAATCAATTCTAGAAACACAAGAAACATGGAGAAAGATTTTAAATACAACACAATTTTAGTCATGAGTACAAAAAAACTTAGAGATGGGGATTCCACAAATTATGCTACATCCACACAGTGGAAAAATATACAGTCATCAAATGGTTCCAAAATATGTACTGACAGAAAAATGCTTGTGATGTATATTAACTGGGAGAAAAAATAACCTAGAAAACTATCTACACAGCATCTCAACTTTATAAATTTGCATTTTCAAAAATTACATTTTTTAAATACAGAAATGACATCAATGTAATTTTTATTTTCTTTAGAACCTTTAATTCCTAAATTTCTATATTGTGGTCCTTTTATAATTGGAAACCAGTAAGAGATTTTGTTAACAGTCATCACCAACACCCAACACCTTCATTTATTCCCACTTCTTACAGGATCGAGTCTAACCTCAGGCAGGCATCCAGGGTCTGGCTCTACCTACCCCTCCCTTTTACCACCTCCACCACCACCATCCCCCCCCACCCCCCGCTGCCCCCCTCCTCTGCCGTGGCCAGGTGTGCTCCCCTCCCTTGAACACCACGCTCGCACACACAGCACCTCCGCTCTCCAGGACCCAGCAGTTGCCATTTCTCTCCAATTTACCTCCCGTGCCCACATCAGCCGACCAGACTCTCGGTGCCTTGGTGCTGGGTCTTCCATCTACACTGAGTTAAGGCTCCTAACAGTGCAGGACGCAAACTTCAACCGGCTTAAGCGAAACGAAGCGCGCAGGGCAGTGGTTTATTTCCTAACCACGCTGTGGCAAAGGCGGGGGCCCTGGACCTCAAATGCCAGCAGAATTCTCATTCTCTACTGGCTTAACCTACTTTCATTACAGACCAATGGCTGCCAACAGCTATCTAGCCCCAAGCCAATAGCCTCTAAAACCAGAGAAAGTGTGGATTTGCTCCCAAACCCGAAAGCCCCAGAAAAGGGCTCTGACTACTCAGATGGAGTCAGGTGCCAGCCCGGGACTAACCCACTGCAGTCACAGTCATAGTCACAGGCTGGGAGGGCATCGCAGGTCACAGTGTGGGCACTGCTTCCGGGAAAGAGGACCTGCTGTGGCCTAGGCACCTGTCCCAAGTGTCTCCCAGCTGTGCCTCCTCCCTCCGTCCTTCCCCTCCAATGCAGCTGCCACGCTGAGGCCGGAGGAATCTTCAAACCTTCGCTAGCCCCAGGGTTCACGCTGGGAGCACAGAAGATGGCTGCATTGCTCACAAGGAATTCAAGGGACGGAACCTGTACAGACTCCACGATTCCTCAGAAAGGCCTCGCTCCGTGCAGAGCAGCGAGGGCTCTTGAGCTCAGGTCTTGATGAATGTGGGGGGCACGCAGCTCCCTCACCGTCTGGCCCGTCTCACCTCCCTCCACCTCATCTTCTCCCGCCCCAAGCCCATCCCTCCCCCCTCCACCCAAACCTGCTCCCTCCTCACAGCCACACGTCCACACATCCAGCTCCAGCCACAACACCTCCCCGCCCTTTCTTCTGTCCAGGCCTTTGCTTACTGCCCCTCCTCCTAGGTGCCCGCCTCCAATACAGGCTGGACTGGACAGCAGGACCCCTGAGGCCGCTCCACCCGCACCTGCTCCCGGAGCCTGCGGTGACGCGCTCACTCTACACCACGGGGCCAGCGCCCTGCTCGGGACGCCTCCACGCCGTGCACACCTAAGCTCACCCACACCCTCCCTCCATCCCCCTCATCCACGTCCACATCTCCCCTCGACAACACCGCCCCGAGGCAGGAGCCACCTCACATCTGGCACGATGCCCACCACCAGGGGCCAAGGAGGAGAAAAGCGGCCCCAACGGAAGGTCAGACCGCGACGTCGGGACAAACACAAGCCACTTGGAAACGCCATCTGAACACAAACAGGAGCCCTGGCCAACCTGCACCTCAACCTTCTTCAAAAGCCTCCTCGCCCCGCACAGAGCACAGACCCCACACACCGGGCCGCGGCCTGGTCCGGCCCCGGACCTCACCCCTTCCCGATGGGCCACCTGGGGCTGGATTCTGGGACAGAGCACAGACCCCCACCCCGGGCCCGCGGCCTGGGTCCCACCCCGGACCTCACCCCTTCCCGCTGGGCCACCTGGGGCTGGATTCTCGCCGCTGTCCAGGGCTCAGCGTCTTTAAATAACTGCACAGTCAGGTGAAAGGGGGTTGAAACTGTGCCCAACACACAGGGCCCAGGGGCCGCT